CTCCTCACCTTAGCGACATCGGCCTGTGGTTTTGCAATGGTATCCTCGTAATGGTGTCTATCAGCAGCGGCAACTTCTGTTTTTGTGGAAGGTAATTCAATCTTTTCAGTAGTGATGCTGGTACTTTCAACAGCTTTCGGTTCTGTCACATCTGGTGGACTTTTCCCAGATTCCGGCGGTTGTTCCACAATTTTCTGTGCCGAGTCGAGTGGTGTTTTACTGAGACTCAAATCCTGATTAGGTTCATTCGCAGTTGTAATTTCCGATTGTTGTTCAGTAGCATCTTTCTGTGATGCGAGGACTGTTTCAGTTGGTTTCGAATGTTGCACCTCGTCTATCGTAGAATCAGTATTTTTATCTTGTATTTGCTCTTCGATAGGTTTCCTGGGAGACTGAATTGAATTGTCAACGTTTTCCTTATCAGGTTTGAGGGCTGAAGTCGGAGGGATACGCTGAGGTGGTGCTTGCACTAAAATGAAATTATTGTCTGATTTCCGTTTATGTCCTTGGAAGTTTGCATTCTCGTTTTCAAGTCAGTCAGCAGCTCATCAGTACGACGTTGTCAAATTCAGGTGTTGTTTGCACACTTAGAAGCAAGAGGAAGAAGCGCAGTTTCGGTCTTTGAAGTGGACCAAGGTCCCATGCAGTCCATTGTAATCCGATAAAGTCTGCTTAAGCCCCTTAAAATAACCTTCTACGACTTAAAAAAGTCACTAGGTTTGTTTTTCTGCGAAAATAAGCGATCAAAAGAAGACTTTTATTCGAAATGATGCGATTTTCTACATACTCACATACGCAGCCCCTGCCTAATCCCCTCAGAAACATATGACGTTTTATAGAAAGTTGATATTGATCTAAAGACATCATCAGATAGCCCGCAGTATCTACTATCAGAATCTAACGTTATTTGTTCCTCATCGAAGAGGTATGCGGTTTCTGAAAAGTTACCTGAAAACCTTAAAAAGCTAACTTTTCGAAAACAATTTACTTTCTGATACAAGGTCAAACTTAAAGGTATTTTCTAGAAGATCGGGAAATAGAGTCAACAGCTTTGATCAAATTGAGATATTTCCTAGCTCTAAATGATGTTCTACTATCCATCCCAAAATACAAGACCCGTGGGCATTTTTAACTTTTGAATGAAGATAGGAATGAGATAGAGACCTCCGATTTTCGCTGCTCAATAGCCAAGACTTGAGCAGAACGTCAAATCTCATGCTGACTCAAGCAAATTTCCAGAAAACGCTCAGGACAGCTCATAAAGCATAATCGAAGACGAAAACGGTGAATGTGAACTGGGCATTGGCTTAAGGTTTTTCAGAAACCTTGTGAAAAACATCAGAGCATCAGTGTTCCGCTGGATCACTTTTTCGGCCTGGTCAACAACATATGGCATCTTTCAAGCCTTTTCTGAACATTTGCTTGAGTCAGCAAAAGATTTGATCGAGATATAAGGATTTTAATTTTTGCTAGTAACAGGCGAAAAACCGGTTTTTTCACAACAATGCCTCTGGCGAAGTTATATTCATTTCTACACAGAAACAAATGTTGCTACTATGCTCAGCGTAGTCGATTACCTATAGTCCATGGCATTTTGAGATTCCCAGAGATGTCTGCTCGGAGACAGTCACGTGCTCGGGGAAAGCGAGCCCTGCCCGAACGACGATAGCCAGAGAGTCGGAACTGGCATAATTTTGTAGAGTGATGTCCGAACTATGCACGCATGCATAAAAATTACTAACATTGTATGTTAGTTTTCTGAGAACGGAGCTGGTTGTCCAAAGATCCTCCCAAAATCCGATCTCTGAAATTCTTTCAAAAGTTGCTTCCGCTTGTGAAACGTTCTGCTCAAGTCTTGGCTATTGAGCAGCGAAAATCGCAGGTCTCTATCTCATTCCTATC